AAGAACTAAATGACACTATAAATAGCCATTAAACCTTATCTTATCCAACTGTTTGTACATCTTTCCTCATGCAAACAACTTTAGCATTATTAGCAAAATCCAAACTAAAATGATTTGGGTGTTTGTCCATTTTTTCTTCCTGATGGAGATGATGGCAAGAGGAGAGGGCATAGTGAAAATAATACAAATATATTATTACATTTTTAAAAATGAGTAAAAGAAGCAAAAGCAGAATATATGGATGAACCACATTTTGGATTATCATTAATTCTCCCATTAACAGTTCTAATAGCCTCCAGTCACCATTGGGGTTAGTTAAGGAAAATAAAAGAGAAAGTCTAGAAATATACTATGACGTTCTAAAAATATCTTTCTACAACTCTTAAAAAAAGTATTTGATTTGAAATCTAACATATTTGAAGATGAAATTAAGTTGAAGAATTAAAGCCATCAAGAATAAATGCTAATGAATCTCTTTTATTTCTTTAAATAAATAAAAATACATTAATCAATGATGACCTGAAGTAAATTAATGAAAACTACATCCCTAAAGTTAATAATGCATTATGTAAAATCCTCCAAGCTGGGCTGTTCCTAAGTTTGGTGTAGCCCTGGCAAAAGTATGCTGTATATGCAGCCTATCTGACCTTTTTTCCTATTCAGTTCATGCCTACATCCCTTGCCCCAGGCTACTACCACCAAAATGACCATACCGTTGTTGTTGTGTGCCATTGAGTCATTCCAACTCATAGCAACCCTGTATGATAGACTAGAACTTCCCCATCAGGTTTCAGAGGCATATTTAATTTTTATGTAGTAGATTCACTTTAAAACAAATCTTAGATGTAGCCACAGAGTGAAAAAGAACAGCTTAGAGGAGAATAAGACTAGGGGAATGGCCAGGCCTACCTACTTTATGACTGGGCAACTGGGTGTATCCTGTGAACGTGCCTTATTCTTAGCTTTCTTAAGTGAACACACAGTCTATACTTGGAAATAATTTGTAAATGTTTCATCAATTCTAATATTTTTCTAAGGCTGGTATGTGGAGTAATGAATGACCAGAAACAATTTTACATTTGACAGCAATAGCTCCCTATACTGGGCTACTATAAAATTGGAATATTTCTAAATGTCTCTGAAGGAACTCTCATTAACGCAATGTGTGTACCTAACTTTCTTTGTAACACACAATCTATCCTGCTTCCCTGAATCACTCACTGCCCATCCATACAACAGGTAGGAGAGGAATAGGTGATGAAATTAGTACTCAGAATAGAAATTTATAAACACTGTGTTGCTATTTACCTTTTAGATCTCTATTCATTAAAAAAAAAAAAAGCAAACAAAAATATATAATGTTTTCTGGGTCATTCTGATCTGTTTTATGCTGTTATGTTCCTTACTTCCTTGACTATTACGAATATATTGAATCTCCAGTGCTTAACATAACCTGGAAAAGATGTCGTAAATCCAAATTGCTATTTCTCAAATATATTCTGTGTTTAGGCAAGGTTTTGTGTTTTTTTTTCCAGCTATTCTAATTAATATGGAATACAACCTGCTGTTACTAGCATTAACTATTTATGTATGTAATTATTTATATTCACCTTTTCAAAAATGAATTAAGACATGAAAAAATGAGGCAAATATAAAATAAGATCAGGAAGATGAGTTGCGATGAGAAGAGAGATTAGTGGACAAATTTCAAACTCCGGAGTCTTACATAATTCCTAGAGATTGGTCACAAATCTGACTGTGAACCTTCTAGAGGTCATATGAGAAAAAGAAATATGATCAGTTGCAAGAGTCATTGTTCATAAATTAAAACAGGTGGGTGTTAAATGAGCATGATTTTTCAGTAAAGAAGTGGCAATAGAATCAAGTAGGGTGGTAGGGGAGGTGGTGGGGGCATTTACAACTTCTCAGAGTGGGGCATATCTAAATTTTATTAATTGGATGTGATGCCACTTTTTATGCCTCTGGACCTCAGAAGTAAGGCATTATTCTGGTTCTAATGCATTTAGCGTCAAGGTGGGTCCGTTTTGAAATGTGTGAAACTCAGAAGACCTGACTGGGAGCCTGATTGATGTGTAGGTTGAGAATTCTATTAAGTGATGCTTCCTGGGTGTGTTAGTTTTGTAAACTTTTGCTTTTTCCCCCTTTATTTCTGTGAGATGAGGCTTACAAGCATAATTATGGCTTTCCTGTGTGATGGTTAGGGAGCCCTGATGGGTTTGTTTTGGTTTTTCTATGTTATATTTGGAAAACCAGAGGTTCCCCATGTAACCTAATGGAATCGTGCCCATAATATAAATTATCTACCTAGTTCTCAGTGGGATACTGTCATGCCACAGATTGGTGGCCCCAAAGTGACACTTCATTGGTGGATTATATTGCCTAATCACATTTCTCAAAATGCATATTACCAACCAAAAATTTAAATACACTCAGTTAGTAAGCATGCATTCCAATCCAGAAAACACATGCTATCAAAAAAAAAAAAAGAGAAAAAAAGTGGTAACAAAAGGGTTAATATAACTGAAAAAACCTGTTGCCCTTAAGTTGATTCTGAGTCATGGCAACCCATATGTTACAGAATAGAACTGCTCCGTAGGGGTCTCCTGGCTGTAATTTTTATGGAAGATAATCACCAGGCCTTTTGTCGGCAAGGCTAGAGCTTTAAGTCAAGAAGATTTTATAAAGCATTGGAAATTTGTTGCTATGTAATTCTTGGGAACCCCCCTCACAAGACTATAGTAGCTGAAACAAAACCATATCAAGTGTTGCCCAGACATAGCCTAGTGTGGAAGAGTATTCTGCCAGGTAGACAAGTGTGATTTCTTAAGATTCTATTTTCTTCTTTGGTTGTGCTTTTGATTTCATCTCAAAAGTTTTCTCCCTAAACACCGAGAGAGAGCGATAGAAAATCTTAAAGTTACTTCTTTCCATTTTCAAAAATAAAACCTATGATCCAATCTAGACAATTGGTAGTTTCTGTAGTAGATGAAAAACTGTGCTTCATTAAAGTAAAATAAATCCTACCTCTGTATAAATGACAAAAAAGGCATGTAATGAAAATAATACCAATAATAAGCTAGAATTTATTGAGCATTTGCTATGTGCCAGGCCGTGTGCTAAGCAATGTATCTTTTTTTATCTCATTTAATTTTAACAACCACCAATGAGGTAGGTGCTTTTATTTTATCTATTTTACAAATGAAGAAGCTGAGGCATAGAGAAGTTAAATAACTTTCCCCAGGTAAAGAGAAATAAAAGAGAACCAAAATTCAACTCCCAGTCTGACTTCAGACAATTTATAAATTTCTTAACCACCATGCTGTATTCTGAACCTGTCTATCATTTTTGAGTGGCAGATGAAATGTCCAGGGCAATAGTCTTGCCACTGAAAGAAAGGGGAACGTGCCATGGGGGATGCCTGCAGCTTATGAAAAGATGGATTTACTGGACTAGTTTTGATGTACCTCTCAAGAGGAAGGGTTTTCTTTCTTGCAATCAAGAATTAGGCATGAGAGTGCTAGAATATCTGAGCGGCCATACCAGCATAAGCAAGTACTTCCAAACCTTCTGAATTGTTGGACTAGTTCATTCCTGTCACACAGATGGAGGTATACATACACAGTTCAAGAGTAGAAGGTAGATTTTGTGTGGACTTTTATCTTAATTACTGCAGACTTCTATCTCTAATAACACCATTTAGATGAAATGGTTTTTAGAGTAGAACATTGTGTGGATCATGCACCACTGGTATGGATAAAACTTTAAAAAAATTAATATTTAAGATTTTATCTCAATAGGTGTTTGGAAAAAAAATAATTAGCACATCAAATCTGTGATTTTTTTACTATTATTATTGCTTAGGATACAACTATGTTGATTAAAACAGGGAAGGAATGAATTTAAAGTCAACACTCTAAAATGTTAAATATTACAGGAAATACACTGGTAAGGAGCAGTTGTGAAGGCAATGCATGAAGGCCTGAAGTTTGGAAAACACTTCTTTGGCATTAGTGCCCTTCAATCACTAGCTAATTCTTTTGCCAAGCATTAGGCTTTTCTTCTGCAGACAGTGGATAAATAAGTAACTTGGAGGAATAATGGAAGAGGAGGATTAAGCCTAGAGTAGATTGTGTTGACTTCTCTTTCTTCCTCTCCCGCACCCCCTGCTGTGTTAGGTGATAGAATTTTTAATCTACTTGGTTACAACTTTTTAAAAAAATATGTTTTTCTAATTTTTCTCGTGAATACCATTTCCCATGCTTGAAGCCAACAATGTGCTTCTTGTGTGTGGTGTTTCCTTTCCTTTTTCTTCTTCTAGCATTTTATTTTCCAAGTCCTTTGTGGGATTTAAATGGTTCTAGTACCTCTTTCTTTTCCTTCAATCCTTATAGTTAGTTTTGTTACAGTCAGTGTTGCAGGGCTGGAAAGAAGATAAATAGTCTTGCCCAAATCAGATAAGATGTTTAAAAATAAAACGATACCATGAGCTTTGGTTAAATAATGCCCAAGGGTCAAAGTAATTTCCCTTTTCATAGTAAGTGCCTTACTCAGATGAGAATTTCAAGTATGAAGTTTGCTAGAGAAAAAATACTCAGTTTTTTTTTTTTCAGATTCAAAATGATTTTAAAATTGGAATTATCGTAGATTTCTACAATTGCACTTGGGATAATTTCATATATATTGGCTTTTTGTCATAGATTTCTACTTTTGCCCTTGGGATAATTTCTGTCTCCATCTTTATCTGATGCTTCCTTTTACTTGCATCTCAGATATTAAGAAAAAATGTGTTTTTTTTTTTTAAATTCATGGATTTTATAGCATTTCTTGCATTGAATCTTGGTGAGAACTTTGTTTAAATTGGTAACAGCTTTGCATCTTTAAAAATGATTCTAGCATCCGTTATCTCATGTTGAAAATGCAGCAAATGAACTGGAGCATGTGACGGAATTAAGATTTTGTGTTTTCCCCTCTCATTTTAGATGGGAAGGTTGAAGTTACAAAAGAAGGTGTGAAGCTGTGCACCATGGGTCCAGGAAAAGTGTTTGGAGAGTTGGCTATTCTTTACAACTGTACCCGGACAGCGACCGTCAAGAGTAAGACTTTTTATATATTTCAGTTACTTTCGATGTTCTTTATTCCCTAAACCAGTGAAATGTTGATTAACTGACCCGTGCCTCTTGATTTGCTCTTTGTAATTTTATTAAACTACATTTTAATTTTTGCCTTGTGATACAGTAGATGTATGTTTTTTCCTACTAAAGCATAATTGTTAACAATCAATTCTTCCTAGCTGACTATTATGAAAATTATTCTTTTAAACATAAATTCTTACAGATTAGAATTTACAAAATGATATAATTTTATAAAGTAAAATTAAACAGGAGCAAGACTTTTTCTTTTTCTGTCTTTAAAGCCTCGGGATCATATTTAAGACTTTTTACATGTTCATCTATTTTGGGTTACATTCCCCACATTAATCCTACTTGGTCATTCAGTGGTTTTGAAAAATTGTAAGGAGAAATAGCCCTCATCTCATTCAAAATTCATTGTGTGAGATACATCTTGAATTCTAAAACTGCATGAAAGTGTATTCTTGTCTTCAGCTGCTCATCAAGCTGTATATTATAGCATTTTTCTTTTTTACTGATTGAGCTTATTTTAAATTGGGGCAATAAAGCAGCTTGTTTGCCTAATTTTACATATATGTGTATATATAATTTCTCTAGCAACTTTTGTAGCTCGGTAGAAGCAGCTGCAAAAGATAGAATTTATTTGTTTTTTTTTATTCTTCTCCTTCCTGAGTACAGGATGCAATGAGTGTGTAACAACCAGCTGAATCCAAAAGCCAACAATGGAAAGTCCGTCTTTTCTTCAGGCAGACATGAATGTATGTCTTGTTTGAAAAGTCCTTCTGACACATTGTTCTGTAGATTATTTCAATCACATTTTACTTTAATTAGATTTTGTAGTTTAAAAAAATGCTATTGGAAAGTTGACAATTAAATTGTATGTATTAGTTTTATCTATCACTGATATTGGCCAGTAGGTACCAGGGCTTTGAACCAGTTCGTTCTGGTTCAACCCCCTGCTGGGAATTTGCATTTTCACCCCAGATATACTGAATCAGAATCTGTAGTTTAATAAGCTCCCCAGGTGATTCTTTTGTGTAATAAATTTTGAGAACTACTGGGCAGTATTAGGCAGTGGTTCTCAAAATTTATTATACAAAAGAATCACCTGGGGAGCTTGTTAAAATGTAGATTCTGGTTCAGTATATCTGGGGTGGAAAAGCAAATTCTTAGCAGGGGGTCGAACTGGGATGAACCTGTTCGAAGCCCTGATAGGTATAATACCGTTGACTATTTTCAATATATATAGGCTATTTATGTCAGAAGTATGGTATATTACTAACAACATGACATTCAAACTTGGATTATAAAGAACTCAAGAGTACATGGTCAGCTAGAAATTGTCCTACATGTCTTGTTAGTGAATTTCCTTTTCATTCACTGAAATCACTGTTGCATCAATTGCAGTAGGAGCCCTATTAGGATGGGTGCTTTTTGACATTTGATTCTTTATCTCTGAAAACAAACTTTTTTGATTGATGAACACTGTCATGTTTTTATTTAATATGATCATTTAATTACTGACTCAAAGAAAAATGAAGCACAGTGAACTGTAGCAGGATATGCCACAACTTTAACTGACTTAAAAATGTGCCTTAACTGGAAAAAGAAAGTAGTCATGACTCTATTTAGTGAAACAGATTTTAATCTTATGCCTCATTTCTATGAGAAATATATTCATTTAGGGAAAAAAGGCCAGGATAGCACATTTTGATTAAAACAGGATTTCTCAGAATTGTATATAGCGTTTTGAAGTTTTAAAATATTTCAGCCTGAAGGAATGTTGTATACTACTTATTTAATCTGACTAAAAATATAAATTTTTCTAAGGTCAATAGTTGATAATAATATGGCACTTAATCTTTGAAATATTAAATTCTTACTAAGGACATTTTAAATAGACTAAATGGTCTATTTAATTCTATGGCAAAGATTTTTTTTGTAAAATATTACTTTGCTTTGTAAAAATGAATTTTTATAGATCTCTATAAAATGGTTTTCATCTGTGCTAGCCTCTATTATACTCATATTTGGTAAATTTATATAGTCACTTTGCATCTGATCCAGCGTCAGTGAATTGGCTGTTGAGTGTAAATTATAACCCTAACTATTTTGGGGACAGAACATCCATCATCAAAAGAAGTGAGTGATGGAGCATGTTATCTTTTAACACAGAGTCAAAGAAAGCTCCTGTGTATATGTGTATTTGTGTATTTTCTTCATGGTGCCTACTTAGGATATGGAGATTGTAGTGAGAAAAGAGGCAGGGTTGATGATGTATAAATAATCTCATTTATAGGGTACGGAGGTTCTGTGCATGAATAGGGAATAATATATATTAATAACTGTTTCTTCTGAATGTTGTGTAACAACTGTAAAGTGTCAATGATTATTTATTGTTGAGAACTTTTTATCTTCTCTATAGTGAGAGTGCACCTATGACTGTAGTCCTTAAGTAGCATTTTTTTCTTTATGTTTAAATTATACCTTCAGCCTGGTCACTTTAGAATTCTGATTTGATTCCAATGTGGATGCTAGCTTTACTGAATGACTACAGAATATAACCGCAAATACTGTTTTACTCTTTGTATATGATATTTAAAAAATGTCCTTAAACTAGTTTGACTTTGTTGATCCAATAATGTGTCAGGATTCAGGATTGCATTTACTCTTGTTCACTTCCTTTTAACTCTCATCTTAGCGGTGATGCCCATTTGGAATATCTTTCAAAATGGACTCATCTGCTTAGGTGAATCCTCTAAGTCCAAGAAGCTCTTTCCTACCCAATAGCTTATCTATTCATGCCTTTTTCTTTCTTAACTGGGCTTGTTACTCCCTTTCCACTAATATCACCCACTTTCTTTTTATGACTGAAGATGTAGTTGATGATCCCATTTCTCCCTTCTTTCTCCCTAGGTCAGCCTGAAAACTCTTCAGCATTATAATGCATTTTAATCTTACAGTAGTAACTAAATCCTAGGTGGCGTTGACGTGCTCTCTAGCGTACCTGAGTTGTTCCTCCTTCAAGAGAGCACTTTGTAAAGTTGCATCAGGTCAAATAGATGATACCGTGAGCAACAAATTGTAGTGACTTCCGCTGATAACAAATGTGTCCTAACATCAGTTTGTTTTTTTTATTTAGTTTATCAAAAAAGTATCTTTTGTTATTATAGCTTTTGTTAAAGCTATAGATTGACATATGCTAGAAAATATGATCGTAAGTTGTTCATAGTGATCCAACTGAAAGAAGCACATGGTAGTTTGAAGGAAGCTTTCTGATTTTCACATGGGAAAAATAAATTGGCATTCTTCTGAAAGTTATTATATGTATAGCACTGGTGATTTTGGTAATTAAAAGTCAAAATCATAGTGATATTGAAAGAAAATATTATGGTATGGTATAGAAAATCTGTATTCATAGTCTATCCTATCTTGTAAAATAACACCGTTGATTTTTCCCAAAGAATGAGGATATAAAATATAAAAGTAGAAATAATTTATAATTATGAAAATATTAAAAACTAGCAGTTGTTGGATGGAAAACAAAAATCTAACAGCTATCCTGAGGGTATTCACGGCTTAATGTCCTCCAGTTTTTTGTTTTCTTTTTTTAATTGACTAAGATATAAAAATGGCCATTTTGATTTTATCTGTCCAATCCCAAACACTCCGGATGCCACAGGAAGGAAAAAAGATTGAGCTGATATCTTAGGTTTCTACAGCACCAGACAATTAATGTCTCCAGTGTTTTTCAAATTTTAAAAATTTTGTCTAAATATTTTGGCATTGTGTAGAGAATGGAGAATTTTAATATCAATTTTCAAACCCCACAGGAAACAGGAATTTTCAACATGTTCATTGAATACCCCTTACTTACCAATTCCCACACCTGGAAGCCTATCATTATCATGTTTTCCTAAAGTGTTACCCATGGTTGCGATTTCACTTTCACTACCCTCACAGCTAAAGCAATATCAATTTGCACTTACCCTGCGCGTCTTAGACCTGTATTTAGCTGAGGGTTCTTCAAAATCACAAACATAGAAAAGCTGAAGTTACCGGAAACCTAAAAATTGAAATGAAAAGACATTTAGTTTATAAGAAGAGAGGGATTCAGTGATACATACCCTGTGCGTGCAAGGACATTTATGTTATTGTCTTGTTTTAGCTGGATTTCCCTTGATCAGGTCTTATAATTTATGCAGCTACACAGGGATTTTTATGGTCTTTGAATCAAATGACTCTTTGCTCCAACTTCAGTTGTATATGAATTGGGGTATTGTTGCCTGAAGATACTAAACTGAAGCCCTGCTCCTCTTACTTTGAGTCTCCCGCTCACAATGCCCCCAAACCTTAGATAATGTATTATTTATAGGGTTTCCATTCAAGTACACCCCAATAAAAACTCAAGAATAAAAGTTTCTTCCCTTTGTAGGAAAATATTTTGATGTCAGGTCAAGATGGTCATCATAGAAAGTCATCTGCAAAGTATCTTTGGTGGGTGTGGAGGCCATTTTATGAATTTACTTGGGCAGAATATCTGAATAATTCTTTCTCTTTAAGTTATTTATAACAAGTATTTTTAAATTTCCCAGTATTAAAACACTTATATCCTAACACAAAAAAACCTAAACAACTTATATAAAATGTAATAAATTAAGGAATTTAGTTACATCTGGTAAAAACATTTTTCTGCTTTAGTTTGAGTACTTTCAAGTTTTTATACTTAAGCTTTCTTAGGATATTAACCAGTTGCTGTTGACTTCATTCCAACTCATAGTAACCCAGTAGGACAGAGTAGAACTTCCTCATAGGGTTTCCAAGAAGTGGCTGGTAGATTCGAACTGCTGACCTTTTTGGTTAGCAGCCATAGTTCTTAACCACTGCACCACCAGAGCACCAATATTAGTGAAGGATATTAGTAAAGGAGAAGTTGGCTAATTGACATGTTTTACTAATCATCGTAGACATTTTAAGAACAAAGTTAAAGGATTTGCATTTGTAGTTGTTAAAATAAATGTGGCTCTATTCAGTGAAATATTTGTACATTCTCTTGTAGCTCTGTTTCAAACATTACATTATCAAACCTGACTCAGAAAAGTCTGCTGGCTGTCAAAAACCTAAAAAGATACATGGGAAAAAAGATAAAAGGAGATTTGAGTAAATAATTTTGAGCAGGCACGTCTACATGCGATAAATGTAATACTTATAACTATAAGGTCAATATATGGTCCTTTTCATTGGTAAAGGAACGAAAGGAGAGAATCCAATTTTTGTTGTTAA